ATAGTGTAGTACTGACACCGATAGGTATTATTTCTCAAGTCTAGATTGCACGGCCCATCTAACCCTTCATTTCTAACATTACAAGATAACATGTTTTTGTTTTATCCACTTTGCAGAGCGTTACAGCACCATGGACTATGTTGGCGCTATATAAATGATTAGAAAAATAAAATAGAACAATAAACTTTGTCGGTGCAAGGACCTTTCACTTCTTGTTTTAATTCTATAACGGTTGCGTTCTATTATACATCCTCAAAGTAACTACAAAGCACTGCAGAACAAGTTGGTTCTCTAAAATGCTTATAATTAGAATGCTAATGATATAAAAATAAAACATAAATCGTAATAATAATGCAGTACTGCCCAATGCAACAAATACCAGATATGAGCTGATAAAAGGGAACAAAAATTGCAGAAAGATTTTGGTAGCTTTCTGACTTTCTTAAGGGATAAAAAGTTTTAATGGGCTATGTGCTATGATTTAATTTTCTCTATAGTTCGTTGTTCTTGCAATACATCGAGAAAAGGACAATGGCAATAGTGTAATATAAGATAATCAGTCACGCAATAAAATAAGGTTTCTGATAACCCAAATGGAACAGAACAATTTCTTTGGATCGGAGTAAATTAGAAGGGCTACTAGTCTTCCAGTCTGAGACATGTTTTGAGATGTGGATCTGGGAAGAAAGAAACGTGTGACGGAATTGTTTTTCTATATGTCTGTCTGAAAACCACACACAGGTCCTGTAATGATGAGCATCATGATGCAATTCTGCAGAACTCATTCTGAGACACTATTCCCCAGATAATGGAGGTATAATTGGAAATATAATGTATAATGTTGGCAGGGAATTATGGGAGTTTTAGTACAATACCAGTTGGGGAGCAGATTATGACCTCCCTGCAGTGAATTGTAAATTTTGTATGAAATATACCAGCGTAAATAATCATAAAAAAAAAATAATCAATACAAATGTTATATCGGCCATTTTATAAGAAACTGTTCAGATTTACAATATGACCAGGTGATGTCGTCTGGTTTTCTTTTTTGGCGCACTTGGATCCATTCATGAATAAAATCACAATGGCTGAAGATCTTCAAAGCCAATTTTTCTTGCATTCAAATTTATTTTCCACATTTTATTGTGGAATTTTCTTTAAAATGCTCTTTAAAGTTTATTGAAATATTTTTTATTTTATAAATGTTTAAACTATGCGCAATGAATGAAATAAAATAAAAAGATCAATCTGTGTAATTTCTAAACTTGGAAAATCTGTGCGTTATTCTCAAATCATCTGCTTTCAACATGTAAAAAGCCTACAAAATGCTCTGTATCCATATGTATCAGAAACCACATTGCAAAAATCAACCTATTCCTTCGCACTTCGATGGTAGTTAGAAAATTTTCTTGCATTGTTGAAGGTCAAATTGTAACATTACCAAATAATAATAAATGAAATAATATTTTATTATAACCCCTTTTATATTCAGCACCAATCACGTCATAAGAAGGAATTTGCTGGGTTCCAGATTAAGGGAACAATATCAGATTTTTTAAATTAATGAAAATAAAAGATCACGTGTATTCAGTGTTAATTATGGCGGCAATTTTCAATTTAGTTTTAGTCGTAGTCTTTTGACTAAAAATCAGTTTTAGTTTTAGTTGTATTTTAGTCATCTGAATAGTTTTAGTCTACTTTTAGTTGACACAACTAAATCTAAGGGGTTTAGTTTTGCCTCTTCCCCCAGCCCCTTCATGTGTCTCATTCCCCCAGTTCCCTCATTGTCTCAATTCCCAAGCCCCTCCCATGTCCCTCTCCCCCAGCCCTCCCCCATGTGTTTCAATCCCTGAACCTTCCATGTGTCTTATTCCCTTAGCCAACATTGATCTCATTTCCTCTTCTCCCTCCTCCATGTGTCTTTCCCGGCAGTGTTAATTTTGGCGACAAATTTCAATATAGTTTTAGTCATAGTCTTTTGTTGTAACCTAGTTTTAGTCTACTAAATCTCAAACATTTTAGTCGACTAAAATCTGACTAAAGTTGATAGTCGTTAAAATTAACACTGCATGTTCATAGCCTCTTTTTTATTTTGTAATATGTACATATAACTTAACACCTCGTCAATTTACTACAATCAGATGCCGAAATTATATAAATTAATATAACTCCAAGGACAATCATCATCTCAATCCTTGTTAATTGTTAATTAATTATAGATCTATCCATGTTAACTATTTAAAATTAGGACATTTTCATGTCCGTCTTGGCAGCATAATATTAAAAAACAACTTGTTAATTGTCAAGAATTGTTTCCGAGTGTTCTCCAACTGAAATTTACCGTTGTCCCTGTAATTTGTGTGAAACATTAGACATGTTCACAAGCACAAGTCGTTATGGGTATTAAAAATTAATTTTGTGTGGATATCACCAATGTTCATAATGGTGCCAGCGGGTCTTTGGGTTGATGAGTTGTCCACCTCTATTTTTCATCTATTGTGAATTTAAAATATTCCAAACGGACGATGCTTACCTCTGAATGCCCTTCTTTTGTAGGTTTTTTTTCCCACAGGGATCTACACTAATTCTGGTCGATTAATATCAGCGAGCTGGCTGTGTTATCTTTGCCAATCCGTTTCTTCACTATGACGTGCATGGGAGAAGCTTGCATGTGGGAAATGTCACGTGCGTGCCTGGTCAGTGACATCTAATGCTTGACCAGGAGTAGGCAACCTTCGGCACTCCAGATGTTGTGGACTACATCTTTTCTGATGCTTTGCCAGCAATATGGTAGTTAGAGCATTATGGGACATATAGTCCACAACATCTGGAGTGCCAAAGATCACCTACCCATGTGCTACACTATAAAGGTGTGTGTTTGTGCAATGCACCATTGTGAGCACTTTTCCATTAACCTGTAAAAGTGAATTGATTAATGCTTGTTATGGTGGTTAAAGTTGTCTAAATGACTTTCTTGTGCGCATGCACAATTCTTCAGTCCAATATGAGAAATGTTGTGTTGCCAGCACATGGAAAGGCACACATGCATATTTCTTTTACAGTTTGTATCTGTCTACGTCTTGGATGAAGGAAACATGGGAGTTGGTACAAGGGCTCCCAAATATACCCTATCCCAAGGGTCCTTGCCCCGTTAGAACCATTAATAGCCAGGCTTGGTGTAGGTTCTCATAAGACCTTTCTGGGCAAAGAGCTTAGATTTGCACAATCTGGATTCCATTGATGGTTTTGACTTATTGTCTGTTTTCAGTGTTCAATTAAGACACAAAAAGATTCCTTCTGTTCTGTTTACCCTTCAATATTCTTTGTTCTATTTTTTTTCCTCTTTGTCTTTGGAAATTGTGTGATTCATTTGGTTGTTCCATTCTGTGGTTTGCCTTTGCCCTTTAAAATGGATGTTGTTTAATTTTTAATAAACACAAATAAAAGTATTCAATTTACTGAAATATATCAAAGAAGATGTGCTTTGCTTTAAAAAAAAAAAATGCTGAATAAATCATTACATTTAAAAAAAAAACAGGCAAAACTGTTCGGAGTAGCCAAGTTTGAAAGGGTCGTTGAATGGAGTACAGCCCACATATTCCGCGTTCTGTGTGCCGTTGCAGCCGAACGCAGTAAGTGAATCGTTACTTTGTCATCCTACACCTGTGTCAAATTAGCACCTATTATCTTTAGAAACATTGAAAGCGATGACAGATGCAGACCATTTGGGCTTTTGGCCTTTCCATTTTCAGAATTTCAACATTGAAATGTATTCAGTACTTTAACTCTCGGATCACCTGCAAGGATAACACAGGTGGATGGAGAGATAAACAGTAGACTTGTGCATTCAGTTTGAAATAAATTGCAATTACTATAAATATTGGTCGATAATCATGGTCATCTAAATTCCATAACTTTTAAAAATTATTTTACATTTTAACGGGAAAATTGAATACTATTCATTTGGAATTTCTTCAGAATTGAGTCGAGCGAATTCTGAACGGAGTTAGCATTATTATAGAAAATATTGTATTTACATTTGTTATACATTGATAGACCCATTTTTCGTGCCTTTTCGGTTTCTCCAAATAGGTTTTCCTGAATTGTTTGCATGGAAGATATTCGAATGAGCTAAACCGCTGTGTTAATCTTTTTCATCGTGCACAAGTCTAATAAACAGTCAGACAGACAGACAGACAGAGACAGACTAACTGAAGGACAGACAGACAAGATGATAAAAGTTGGGAAATGGATAGATGGATGGACATGTAATAGACAGATGGACAGTCATAGACAGATATAATTACCAATATGGATACCTTACTCTACTGGACCCACGGGTGCAACCGGGCCAATCCTCACAATGTGATTTGCAAAAAAGTAATTATGGTCCAGGCACTCAAGTTTTTATTTATTTATTGGAGCAAAATGAAAACAACATTTTGACCCACAACAGGGCCATTGTCATTCTTGACAAAGGCCCTGTTGTGGGACGAAACATTGTTTCGATTTCATTACTTTTTTGAAGTCATAGACATAGTCATAAACCATCATTACTTTTTTACAAGTCATAGACAGATACACTGATATAGATAGTTGAACAGACTCTCTGAAGGATGAACAGACAATAAAAAAACAGATATATGGATGGATAGACAAAGAGTCAGACGTAGGAGAGACAGACAGCTATATAGATTGAAGGATGGAGAGATGATAAAAGAATAAACAGATAGATGGATGTACACAATAAAATGAAGGACATCAAAACACAAACAGTCAAATACAGACAGACAGACAGATATAGACAAACAGGAAGACAGCCAGACTGAAGGATTGAGAGATGATACATTTCTTAATCCACAATATATAAACACCCAGTACACATGTATTGATTATTCCATATGGGACTGCTACAACTAACACATATTTCGTATTTGCATGTTTGTATGCATGTTTTATGTTTTCAATACTCTGATCTGTACAATGTGTAAATGTTTTTGCAGGAATTCATCAGCAATTTTCAGATCTCTGCATGATGTTAAAATTAGTCTGCAGGAATAAAATCCTTGATGCCTTTATAATGAGGAAATATGAAACCACGGCTTTGGAAATAAGCTATAGACACTTCTTCTTGCATAGCTCGGCTCTGTTAATAACCTGAAATGAAGCCAGGCGAGAGCTGGCTACACCTTGAACAAGCACTGCATCACATTGACCTATTTCCAAAGTAATTCTACATATGTCCTACACGGCCTGTCTTTCTTTGTGATATCTCACAGCCAGATGCAATCCATAACATTTATGAAAACTACCATCTTGTAACCAGCTGGGCTGTAAAACCCTGTCACATGCCTAAAAATAAAGTTGTATTTCTTAGAAGATTAGAGTGAAAGATCCCAGCTGGGCCATTGGGGATATTGACCTGGATGTTGCTGTTAAGGATATTGAGATAAACTCTGCCCCATACAATTGTAATAGCGATTACTCAACGAGCCAATCATGGACTTGGGGCTTGTTATTTTAGAAAAATTGTAACAAATGTCAGCTTTCTCTAAGCCATTCATACAAACCTGATTTTCCTTTATTGCGTGTATTAAATCCCCAATACGAGACCGAGAAATGTTCTGTGATGGGATTCCAGTATGGGGCATGTTACTTGTTCATGTTGATTAACTATTTATTATTTGTTACTTAGGAATTTCCATTCCGTGGAAAGTACAAAAGGCTGACAGTATTTGTGGTTTATAATGAAAAAAATTTAATAAAAAAAAATTCAAATTACAACAAATATTTTATGGACACGAATTTGAGAACTGGGATTTGTCCCAGGGACTTCCACGCACCCCTACAATGACAAAAACAAAAGAGTTGAGCATGTGTTATTGACAAATAATGGTTTAATGGGTTTGGGATCCTTGTTAAAATCATTAGTTACAGACGTAGAATGCAGACAGAAATGCCAAAATAATAATTTGCACGTATTCTGTCAAAAATTTAGTTTCTTTTTTCTTTTCTTTTTTTTTGTTGTTTCTTTGTTTTATAGCATTCCAATTTTTCATTAAACCACTGCAACGTCCAGATTGAACAATGTTGTAGTTAATTTAAATATTTACAATTTATTTCTCTCTGTTATTAAGATTCAAATAAACATTGTTTCACCTGATACGTTGTAGTCTTCCAAGTAAACTCTTTGTTAGACGCTTCTGTACCCAAAGTCCGAAGCAATATCTACCACAAGTCCGGCATTGGAAAAGTTCACTTGTGAACGTGTATACTTTCATTTTGCATTGAAATACATTAAAATACAAATTTTAGCACAAATGCAAAAATAAAATAATTGTCTTGTACAGATGATGTGATGAAAAAGATCAAAAAATGTTCAAATACCCTGCTTGTGGGTACTGGTAAGAACGTTATGGAATTCATTTCAGAAAATCTCTAAGCAATGTCCACATATAGTATGTGCAGATACTATTTAAAGGAACACTATAGGATGAGGAACACAAACATGTATTCCTGACCCTATAGTGCAAAATACACCATGTAGGTGGCTTGCCCCCCTTAAAACTTATTTCCAGCGTTGCACGGGTCCACCGGCACCGGTCCCGCCCCCTTGGTGACATCATTAGAATGGTGACATCATCCCATGGGGAAAGCATTGGATTGGCTAAAATCTGCAAGGGGGAGGGGCCAAACACACCTCCTCATAGAGATGTATTGAATCAATGCATCTCCATGAGGAAAATTCAGCGTCCCACGTAGAGCGTGGAGATGCTGAACGGTAGTGCTGCCTACTGTGCAGCACTGAATCAGGAAGCACCTCCAGTGGCCATCCCTAGAGGCAATGTAAACACTGAGTTTTCTCTGAAAAGGCAGTGTTTGCATGAAAATGCCTGAAGGCAAAGATTATACTCACCAGAACAACTACATTAAGCTGTAGTTGGGTGACTATGGTGTCCCTTTAACATTTTAACAAACTGGCCATCTTGAGATTTACTTCTATGACATTTTCATGGTAGTATCTCATAACCACTATTGTGTACCTCTAATAATGGAATGCCAATTATCTCATTTGATAACCAGCTCCATCCAGTATAAGAGTCCGTGTTTGATGAAGAGAAGGATTTTTAGATAAGAATAAGCACTTTCTGACTTTTTCACCAGCACTTTGTACAGACTGAATATTTGCTCCCTGCCTAAATGTGGATTTGCCATCCACATGATTTGGGGCAAACAGGCCAACTTTTATTGTATTTTGTATGATAGGTCATTTTTACAGAGTCAACAAGTCATCGGTGAACTTTGAATTGCCTGCTCACAACTTGCCACCATTTGTCAATAAGCATTTCTTAGAGAAGGAAGACTCTACATATTCTGAGATCACAAGTTTGGAGATCGCTCTAATAGTCCATTTCTGGACAGGAGAATCCTGAACACTTATTCCAATCTCATCACTCAGCATACCTCTCGAACACAGATATTTAATACTGAGACATCGAACAGCGTAGATCCGTAGTTAGTGTCATACAAGGAACTGACACATTGCATAGCTTCTATGACCCCTCTCCCAGGTAACCCTTCTCTTTGATGCTTGGCTGATACATACTTATTAAATTAGTTAATCTATTGGTTATACAACTTCACAAAGTGTAGGGATGTGAAAACGTAGTGTTATCTGCTAATGAAGGATAATTCTTAATACATTGAAAGTTATATAAAGGGACATTCCAGGCTCCAATACGACTTTCATTTGATATGTTTTGGACTCAATAAAATGCTTTATAGTTTGCTTGCTAAAATCTTTATCGTTTTTATATTAAAAAAATAAATGTTTTGTAGAATGCTGCACCATAAGCCTGCCTCTTTAGCAACACCCCCTCACACCAAAAAAAAAGACTTCCTTATTAAAGGTACATACGGAGCTCAGCCACTGACAGCACTAAGTGATCTGAACAACAAAACAACCGGCATTACACTATGTCCTGTCAAGTCCACAAGCAATATACTACACATTCAGAAGATGACCTGTGTTGTGGTTCATGCTAACATGTATACCTGTTGACTGATACATAATACATTTTCTTCACAAAATGTACCACAATGTTTATGCTTACCCTTAAAAATAAAGAATTTAAAAAAAGAAAAAAACCTGCATTAGAAGAAGAATACATAGAAGTATGTGCACAGACTATGCAGATACACTGATAAGGAAGTCTTTCTGGCATAAGTGGGTGTGGCTAAAGGGGCAGGCTCATGGCAAAGAATTCTGGAAAATATTTTTTTTTTGTGCAAAAACTATAAAGATGTGAGCATGTAAAAATTAATTTTAAAATGACAGCGAAAAAAACAATTTTTATGCTCTCCACAAGTTTAAAGGGTTATCCAGACGTGGACCCCTTGCTCAAAGAGATATCAGCTATGCCTCACTGATGATGCCTAACAAGGATGAAACGATCGTCTGGGGTTGCTGTGTCTCTCATGCAGAGGGAACTTGCTGGCATTTTGGATCTGGACTGCCCGTATGGGTGGGACCAGTTTGATATGTTTCAGATATCTTCTCTCTGTGTAATGACACAGGGTGAGCTAAAACCAGCTTGAGTTCTGAGTGGGGACCCACCTAAGGGCAGGCTAATTCAGCTGCTGCCCATTCTCAGTATACTCTTGCGTCCTATTTTTTTGCTCTCCATAAGAAAAGCAAATAATTATCCCACCCATTAGCTTGTTTGAATTAATGTATTTATATGTTTAGATGGGAACAGTCCACAAGAATATTTGGAATAGATCGTGTAACAATTTACTGGTGTAAGGTGCCACTCACTAACACATCATTTTGGTCAGTTTATATAAATATCAGCCTATTGAGGAAATCCTAGGATTTCCCGTTTGATGTTTAATGTCACGACCCCAGTTGTCTTTGAACATACCCCACCTGTAGAGGGATGATAAATACATTATGCCTGCCTAACTGGAATTGAAAACACATGCTTCGGGATACACTGTCTATGTCAGGATATGAAATGCACAGCGGCTTCCTGGCCAGACATAAACCATTATCCTGTGTTCGTTGTTATTATTCATATTTATAAAGCGCCAACAAATTCCACAGCGATGTACAATTGGTCATCCCGTTTCTACATCGTGCTCAGGAATGGACGATAGGACAAGCAGGACACAACGTGTTGGGAAACAAAATAAATGCATGCGTTTAGGGAAATGGAAAAAAAGACAGCACTGCCATGCATTATTTTACAATTAGCAAAAGAATAGTCATTAAAAGCAAATACGGAAACAAACCATCCAAATGTCCCACTTTATTCACTGGCCATTGTGGCTACCATCATACAGGAACTCCCATTGTAAGGTCCATGTGAAAAACTGGTTAAATCTGAATAAAGTAGCTGAGTAAAAATAAATAGAAAAAGTCAGGCTTATCTGCATATTTACCCTGGGGAAAAACAAATTACTTTGGAGAATAAATGATGCCATTGATTATGGTTTCTATCCAAATACAATTAAATATGGAGATATGAAAGAAAAGTAAGGTACGTATGTCATTCTGCTTCACATTCATTAAAAATGATTAGCTGATTAGCATGCATTAAAGTGTAATTAATTCCATACAGCAATGACAAAACAATTAGTAAAACAGGTAGAACGTACTGTTATATCAGTTAATCAGACTTTAAATTCTTATTACTTCTCTGGTTAGTACGATTCTGTCCAAGTGATGTGAAAAGGTTTCTGTCAGATTTTGGATTCATCATTAGGAATTCAAACATTCAATTCTATTGTGTATTTTGCAAAAGGTATTGCGCAACAAATAAATAAATCAGTTCAAATATAAATCTACGGCAATCTTCTCAGAAATATTTAAACAACATACAGTCATCATAGTCATTAAAGCACATTCATCCATCAAGTTCAACCTTTCATAAGCCACATAGCTGCCATGGTCCAAACAGAGACCTAATAATTAGAAGGTTATTCCAAACACCATGACCACTGCATTGATTTGAAGTGGTCATGATGACTGGAGTCTGTATTCACAGTATTTGACTATTGCCTCCGGCAGCATCGCTGGGGCATCATTAGCCAGTCTCGAACTAGAGTTCCGAGTGGCTAATGTGAATTCTATTCATATTGAACGTCTGACGTCAGCACACACAGGATGCTTGCGACAGGTGTGCAGTGGTTGCATAGACTACATGGTGACCATGTCCTCTCCTCAGGAGGATTGGCAACAGGGAGAACTTAACTTTATTACTGGAACAGAAATCAGTTCTAGCTTCCTTTTATTTATTTTTTTATTTTGAGGCGGGACCAACTCAGCAAGGGTTACTCTAATCAAAAATAGTGTTTTATGAAACCCGGTTCTGGATTTGGCCCATATGGTACCGGGGGGATTTCATCGTCTGCTGTCACT